AGATCAATTGGAATTTGATTTATTATTTTTATATAATTATATTTTAACTAATATATATATATGTAATTTTATTTCAATTCTAATAAATTATGTAGTCGGTTAATTTAATTATTTTATTTATTTAAGTAGATGTTACAGCATTGACTAAAATAATCATAGAATAAGTTATTTTTTATTTATTTTTTACTATATTTTAGAAGTAATTTTATTAAATAATTGAAAAAATATATTTAAGAAAATATATTATGTTTTTTTAAGGATGATATTAATTAAATAGTATTTATAAATATAATATGTTTTTATATATTTATTTATTTGATTAATATCTAATATTAAGTTTATAGAAATATCCATAATAGGATTTAGAAAAAAAATAAGTCAATATATGTAAATCTTGGATCGTTCAAATGTTTTTGAATATTTAATAATTTTACATAAAAAACTTTTCCTTCAAGGAGACTCATTTTACCATTTAAAATAAAATATTAAGCAATTGAAAATGCATAATCAGGTATTCGTTATTTTAATATAAAATTTTGCCTTTTTTTTATATCATAAATTTTATATAAATTACATTTTAAATTATAATATTAATTCTAATAAATTATGTTTTAGGAATATAGATTCATATCAAGTAGAATGTATTTTATCAAATAAAAAAGATAATTTATGATATAGTAATTATTTGAATTTCAGAATAAAAAAATTAGTTAAAGATCTTAATAGTTTTGTTTTTGAATAAGAAATAGTGACTAAATTATCTTTATCGAAATTTGTATAAAAACATTTTTAATATTTAAAAATATATTTCAAGATTTTAGTTCTATGATAGAAAAATTAAAATAAGACATGGAACTTTTTTAATATAGCATCTAAGATTAATAATATATATTAAAAAAACACAAAAACTAACTTTCTTATACATATGTATATAGTAAAAAAAATTATATTCATAAAATTACAAAATAATATTAGAATAGAATATTTATATATTTATATTGACATGGCATATTAATTATCATGTAATTCTTGGACAAATATCAATCCTAGTATTGCACATCTACACAGATTATTACAACGTGGAAGAAAAGCATTCTTCAAATTTTAACATTTTATACATATTTATATTTTTTTACTACATGTACATGCTAGTGAACCATTGAAAAAAAACATATTTAAACTATGTTTTTTTATTTCTAATTCTCTTAAAATGATACCAATTATAATTGATGTTTATATATATATATATATATATATATATATATATATATATGTATGAGACTTAATTCACTTATTTAAATATAAGTTGAAAATTCACATTTAAAAATTGTAGGACCTATAGGTCTATCTAATTCTGATTGGTCAAAAAATGTCAAAAATACTTCAATGAAATCATCTCTAATAGATGATATTATATTAAATTTCCAACACCTCAAGACTTATCACTTGTAAGATCCAAACAAAATTTATTTCAAAAGGACCTATTCTTTGCATACTATAAGAGAAAAGTTAATATTTATTCTTAATCATGGCTATATAAAAAAAATTATATATATATATATATATATATATATATATATAGAAATATTTTATATTCAAGAGTTTAAATAAACTCTTGAATATATTTTATATTCAAGAGTTGATTTATTATTCTTCTCACAAACTCCACTAGGATTGTGAATTAGCTATTCTTCTTTAATTCCAAAGTGGAGTTGTTTATAGAATGTGTAGTTGAAATCCCATGCAATTGATGAATGTCACTATAGGAAGAAAGCTCCTTTTGGTTCATGACAAAACTACAAACTATAGAAAAATTTTGTGCTCCAAGATTTATATATATATGTATTAAAGCCACTCCTCAACTTTGTTAAAGCCACATCCTCTTTCTACTAAATGATTCAAAATATACTAGTCCTTTGTCCCCGATCCTATTTCCATCCCATGTCCCCCATTCTCTATTTCTATATTCCATTTCTAGTTCCCAATCTTCTCCAAATTCCACCTTGCTTGTCTCCACTTCACCCACCTTTGTCTCTTCATTGTGCCAATCCAACACTGACTCTACCTTTCTCAACCTCACATATATCCCTGTTCCATTCCTATCTCATCTCTACCTTATCCTACCATCACCTCATTCCCACCTTTGTATTGAGAGTTTGAAATTGAAAAATTTAATTGAGTATTTATTTTCTTCAATATTTAAATAAAATATCTTTGGTATTAATTTATCAAAATTATCTAAAATAAAATATTTTTTTAATATTTATTTTACAAAATAATGAAAAATACTTCAATATTTTTTTTGTTTGTAAAAATATACATTAAATAATTACAATAAAACTTTATGTCTATTCTTTCATTTGAATTAGTTATTTATTATATCCACAACCTCAACTAGAAATCTAAGAATTTTAAATAAAATATTTTTATTACATATTTTCTATTATCTTAAAAGTGACTACATGAGTTTGCAATATAATTAAAAGAGGTCAAAAATGCAGTGGCTACATTACAAAGAATATTTTAGTTCATAACACAAGAATGAAATTGCCTTAAAAAAAAGATAAATTTTTTTGTCTATATTTTAAGAAAATATTTATTTATTTATTAAAAAAAATTACTATACTTATATATATATATAGATATAATTCTACATATACATGATATAAAAAAGAAATAACAAAAAAACACGTAAATTATAAGGGTGCTTTTGGCAAAATTTTCAACCTTATTTATTAATACAAAAGTTCAAAGACTGTTACATATTTGTTTTAATGGATATGTGAAAATTTTAGTTGAAAATAAAATAAATTTAGCTTAATTTGATATTGATTTGAAATAACCATATCTATTATGAAATTCCAAATTTTAAACATATATTCTACCTTAAATTTTAAGACATCTTCTAAAATATTTTATAATTTTTTATTATTCTAAAAAATCAAACCAAATTATTTTTTATATTAAAAAATTAAAAATTCAATTGAATTGAAATTGAAAAATTGAATCGAATTTTAGAATAATTAATAAACTAAAAAATGTAGAATTAAGATCAAAACATTTTCAAGTGAATTTCTTTTTGTAAAGAATTATTTTTAAAACTTAAAAAAGAAATGAGAATATATATATATATATAAAACCTTTTATTGAAGAACATTATAGTTCTCAATTAAATTATTGATAATTAATATTACACTTTTATTGTTATTTTAATATTTGAATTCTTTTAATGGTTATTTATTTATATGTTTATATATATGTGTGTATATGTGTGTACACAAATATTAATCTAATAAGATAACAACTTGATATGTACTACCATGATATGAAACATTTTTTTCAAATTCCAATATGAGTAGAAACTTAACTAATAATAACTACATCTTTGTAAATACAATTACAACAACCATTATTTTATGATAATTCAATTCTTTATGCTAGTAAAATTTTAATTTTTTAAGATTTTTTTATTTAAGTATTAAAGAAAATAAACAGCCAATTGAATTATACAATTTCAAACTCTTGAGACGAGAGTGGAGTTGGAATTAGAGTAGGTTCAAGCAAAGTAGGATTAGGCATGGTGGAATTGGGAGGAGGGGTAGGAGTTGGAAATAAAGTACGAGAACAAAGAATGGGGTTGAGGACATGGAACATGGTACAAAATGAATTGTTTAGTGGAAAGGGAAGAATGTGTGGCTTTAATAAATTTAGAGTGTGGCTTTAATATGTCTATATATATATATATATAGAAAGAGAGAGATTTTTTTAAATAGACCTAAAATTTTACTAAATTGATTCACCTATATTAACTATCATATTAATAAAAAAAATGACATTTAGATTTATTTCTTCAATGTTGGATCCAATGCCAATGAAATTCAACCACATTCATCATGATTATCATATTCTTTATAATAGATAGCTTGATTTAATAAAAAACTAGGTCTATTTAATATTTCTATATATATATATATATATATATATATTATCTTCTTTTTCAAGCATACACAATAAATTCATTTGACTTTAAGTAAATGCATATTATTTCCTAAAAGTTTTTATTTGGTTACCTTGCACTCATATGTTGAGTGTCAAATCTAAACATGCTCTTGTAATAGCTCTTATGTGATTATCCTTAAAACATGCATTTACATTAATAATATTTTTCTATGTCTATTTCATTAATGACAAATTGGAAATAACTTATGATTTTTGATTTGACAAGTTTTGATAAGTAGATTTGTTAGAGCTACGTGTTATATTTTATGCTCCAGAATACAACATATATCTTATTTGGTGGATATTTAAAATCTTTTGTTGACAATCTTTAAAGGATTTAACAATATTGGTGCTTAGGTTGATAGAATCACAATTGTGTGTATTTTTTTTGTGATTTTAAAATAACTATATTTTGCATTGATTTTTCCATGCATATGTGATTTTCATTTTTTTTCTTAAGAAGATTTAATAGAATATTAAATGACAGTATGAAGTGTGAGCCTTGATAATCTTAGGCACCATCTAAAGTTGGTTGCTATAGAAGAAAGTAATTAAGACATGTATGTGTTGCTATTGAAGAAAATGTTATCCACTTCTATTAAAAAAGTAACAAGGGGTGTTAATTACTCTTAGATTCACTCTTTAACCATTAGTTCACATTGATCACAAAAGGAATAATTCTTTACATCATTCTTCTACTCTACCGCCTGAAAATAAATAACATCATGTAAAATTTGTGTAAGATTTGTAGAGAATTTATGTAAGTTTTGTGTATTTTTAAAGTATAAGATTTTTTTCAAGAAGAGTCATAATTCGACTTTGCAAGAAACGTTTATTTACTTTTATTAAGTAAATAAGTAACAGAAACATTTAACATGTATTTTATATAATATCAAAACAGTATTAGTTATAAGAATAATCACTATAATTATCAAAGTCCAGATAAAGTTTAAGAAAGTGTTTTAATCTCTCAAAAAGACACAGAAATTCAAAAGAGGAAATTGAGTAAAATGAACTTTTTTTGGTGCTCAGTGCCTCAAATTTTTGCTGGTGATATCAAAAGATACAAATATTTCATATTCCGCCACCAGCCAATCTCTAGGAGAAACTTTTACTTTTTACTAATTTTTCATAGCGCTCCTGAACTTTTTCCAAAAAGCTTGATTCGTCTCTTCCGAGCGAGGGGAGAGAGAGCGAGCTATGGCCAACTCGATCGTTAAGCTCGGCAGAAGTCGATCGAAGGAGCGGGCGTTGGAGCCCGATCGGAGGCATCGTGGGACGATGTTCTAATCCCTGTAACTGTGCGATTGGATCGGACTCACAATTTCCATGCGAACAATGCCGGATGATTGCTCAGGGAAGGAAATCCTGACGGGAGTCTCAGTCCAGGCAAAATTCCTCTTCATGTTTCTCCTCCTCTTCCCGCATGGATCGTAAAAAATGAAATTAGCAATCAAACAGACAGGAACGAAAACTCTGGAACCCACTCAATGCATTCTTCACTCTTTTCACGCTTGAAACAAGTTTCGACGGAATGTTCTTGGTAGAAGTGTCTGGGTTCCACTGAAGCTGTAAGTCATTCCCACGAGTACGAGTAGACATGGGAATAGCGTCGTACCATGGCTACTCGTAGGTGTGGACATTATCGTAGACGATGTCGCGCGCATTGGTTGTCCAATTCGGGTACTGTTAATAATGTAAGAAATGCTGGGTGACAGGATGCAGTAGGTGGAATGTCTTGCAGGTCCGAGAGGTACTTGAGATACTTTTTGAAGCTGCTCCCAGAGCTGCCAATATTGCTCACATGGGTGCTGAGGCTACTGGGTCTCATGGAGATGCACCTGCCGCCGGTGATTCCGAACGCTTCATGGCCGGCAGCTTGGATGGTGCAAGCCCGACTTCACCTCCAATTCTGTAAGCTTCAACAGCAGTTTTTCTTCCCGCTTTTGATAATGGACTTGGACGAGCTTCGTGGCTTCCTCTATCCTATGCCGACATGCTCGCTCGATGCATTGATCAAGCGACTCCGGCGCAGCCTTCACATAATCGTCTGGAGATAAGCCCCTTATATCAACATCCCCTGGAACTTGTTGTTTCATGATATCTTCAATCGCCCAGAATGTGAAGTGGTCTAGAAAACTGTGAACCACCTCTGCTATCTCGTATGCTTCCCATGCCGCCTGCAGGTTATAGCAAAATGGGGTTCTTAGCCAGCAAGATCATTCGTTGTCTTGATCATGAAGGGATTAATCCTGATTACAGCACATAAGTTACGAATTTTAGGGATCACCTTCTCCCGATCTAATTCGTCTCTTGTGCTGGACATATTGTGGGGATACACGAGAGGTGTTTGCACCCACACTTGCTCGTTCTCGAACCAGTACGTATGGTCATGATTGAAGCAGTGGCTCAACAAAGTGTAGTGCTGGAAAACCCTGCATTATGGTTATTCGCTGCAAGACTTTAAATGTTTTATAATAGGACCCTGGAGTGGAACACACGATACAAGGGCTGGGACATTCTGAAGTATGCCAAGATCTGCTTTTGTTTTTTTCATTATTTTAAGCAGCCTAAAATGAAGTCTGAACTGAGTGTGGAGGGGCTTACGTGGTGGTGAAAAAGGGTATAATCTTCTGACATTCTAGATCAGTGAGTTGAGGAACGTCCCCTTTCCTCTGAATGATTGTCAGCTTCAGAAGCAGCTTTTTGAAGAGTCTCTCAGCTTCCTCGAAGGACGCACCCTCTGCAGAGGTTCAGCAGGATTTAGCCATCTTGGAAGTTACTTCAAGCACTAGCGAAATTTTCGTTTCAACATGTTACCTAGATTCGGTTTTTACCTAAGCATATGAGAAATCGCAGTTTGATGTGCAGGTGGGTTCATAGTTTGCAGTGTCATCATAACATAATACCTTACCCTTGATGTGATCCAGCACGTCGTGGCTCAATTTCCACACGTGAAATGTCGTCGGTATAGACAATCCAGCCTCTTTTGCAAACCTGACCATCACTGTGGCTCTGTTAGCACTCAACCACATATTTGCCGTAGGTAAACCAAAGGAGAGATCCGAGAATTTCTCAGTGAGATAGAAAAAGATGAGAGCATCACCCAACTCTTTCCTCCCAATGCACGGCATTAAAATGATCTGTACTTAATAAGCCACCTTTTCCGACAATTCTTACCAGAGATCTTGTCAGAAAGACAAACAATCTGCTGTCATCTCTTTGAGTACACATACTAATTGGCATTTTCACAAAGATGCAGAAACTCCGAGGATTTCATGGAATGAAGCCGAAGCTCAACAACATACAAGAGGAAACCAGAGAAGTAGTCCACGATTATGGCATTGAGTGCCTTGTATGCAATGTTCCTCAGCCCCATCACGTCTGCCAAGAAACTGCCAACATGCGAAGCTCTTCATTAGGTTCAGGAAGATGGGTCTCTTTTCACCATACCATTCTCCCTTACTGCAGTTCGAAATTTATAAATGAAGATAGAGCTTCTGTTCAATTATGAGGCTGATTGAGGAAATCTTCACAGGGCACGGCCTTCAGACAACATGTCAAGGACAGAGATGAAGGTGGTTACTGGAGTGTCTGTTACAAAATACAACAGACTGGATCATTTGCCAGAAACACTTTGATATGCTTGTTTGACCTCGATTGCACAACAAAAACTTTGTACTCTCGGGAGGCCGGTGCATTGTACACGAGGGTTATCAAAAACCAAGCAAATCAAGTCAAGGAGGGCGAGGGGAGATGTAGGAGGCCGAACTCAATCATCTGCTGATGATCCGTGTACGCCGCTGCGTAAAATCCTGACAACTGATCCTCAGTGAGGTCCTTCCGGTAGACGCCATCTGGAAGCTCCTCAATCTGGCTGCCTTCTGAAGCAGCATCAGGAGAAGGAAGCGGCGGTTTCGAAGCCATGGTCGTTTTCATTTAACTCTTCAAAATGCGCTCAACATTCATTATGATGTGCTGCGCCTCATTACTTATTGCAAACCCTTTCATCAGTCCGCAAAAATTTGAACCATTGATGGCAATAGGACTGTTAAGTTACATTATTCAGGACCGATGTTGGAACAATAGAAGAAATCAATGTCGATGAGCTGGGTGTAGTTGTAAATGTAATCAAAGGATATGCACAACATCATTCCAGGAAAGGCAATACATGATTGCACGTGTTGCTGACAACGGCAATAATAAGAGAGTCCTGCTCAATCAGGCAGAATTCCAGACCTGCTCGCATCCCGAGTCCAAAATTCAGCCCTGGCTGGAAGAATTTTCCACCCCTAAGCTTGCTGACAAAAGCCTCCCCAAAATCCAAACTGCAATGACAAAGGCCGATGCGCATTTTCTGAAAAGTTCTTCGTCAAAGGCATAAGGTCGCTCAGCCTAAAACAACAACCCTTAAAAACTCGCTCATCCTCATCGAAGCCTATTCATTCGACTAAACCCCCGCGAATCCCACTCCTGCAATTTCTCTACCTTTCCTTCCGCGCTCACCTCCAAACCAAGTATACCCATGTCGGAACTCAAAATTTTATGTCATCCAGCGAGGGGGACCTCAGCACCGACTGTCGGGTTTCTGTCAGGCCTGCGCATCCATTCACCCACCGACCGACATTGCTTCGCATCAATCGGCGTTCACTCCAACTGCACAGGCTTTCAACAGCGCAAATCTGGAACACCATGTCCCCATCGGCACCGTCTGACGATCTCTCTCCCACATCTGGCGAGTCCGATTGTAGAAACCAAAATCAATTGGGCAAGTCTGCCATAACTGTCAGCGCTCACGAGCTCTTCGTTTTCCCCGTTTAGCCATTCCATTCCATGCCCTGGCAGCTGCTCATTACACCTCTGAAAACAACACGCGCTGACCCCTTGCGAAGAAGATGGCTTGAAATTGTTGGCAAGCATGAGTGAGGCTTACTCTCTTTCTTTTATTCAAAATCGGTATTGAAATTAGGGTGGACTTTGGACAATTGGTAAAAGGAGCAAGTAGGAGGAAAATATTGGTATATTGTGTTGTAAAGTGAGTACAAAATCCAAGGAGGATTCCACTAAAAGATGTCATTTGTATTAAGGGAAGAAGTTGATGGTTCTACCTATGTTGTTGTCGAGTTAGGTGAAGGTTACAATTAGTCATACATCATGACATTGGTCTTTATGGTTGTTTTTGTATTTATTAATTTATCACATATCAATTAATTAATTGTACATCATGACATTTGTCTATATATTTGTTTTTATGTATAACAATGTGTTAAATTTGTATGGAAATTTTAGTATTATATGTATTAAAATTAAATATGGTAAAATTAGACTACCTTCTTTTTATTTGTCAAGTTTTTGCTTTTCTTTTGCATTAAGTCTTTTTTCTTTTTAATAATATTTATAAATCATTAAAATTTTATATATTAAATTATATATAAAAGAATGTTAAATAGATCCAATCTTTTAGTAAATCATCACAAATTGACACATGGATTATTTAGATCTTATTCATCATTAAAACCATCATCCATATTTGGATTAGCATAATCATGATTTTTAATAAATATAGTTGATACAATCATGAAATATGACCAATAGCAACAATTACCAATAGCTACCATTAATGGCTATTTTCATTTATCTTGCCTCGTTTCATCAATAAGTCTTAATATACTCAATCTTCTATTTGTTAATCATATACTATAGTTTTTTTTTTTTTTTTTTTTTTTTTTTTTGATATTATGTGTAGTATAGAAAAGAGAGAGGAAATTGTATATTCTATATTTATTTGTATTTTTTAATAGAAAATAAGGTGCACATATTTGCATCACTATAGGGATATTTTGAAAATATAGAAGAGATGAAAGATAATATAGATATATTTGCATATAGTCAAGGATGTATTGTTTACAAATGTTGCTCTAAGAAAGATCACATTGATTTCAAGTGTGATAGGATAAGAGTTAATTGTAAGCAAAATAATCATATTTATTGACAGAATAGTGCAAGTCGATTGATTGGATGTCTATTTGAGTTGCATGCCTATTATTTGCAAGATAGCATACAATGATACTTAAGATTTGGAATATTCTTCATAATCATGGATCTTTTGCTTTTCTTTTAGGTCATTTATTTGCTCAACATCTTCAACCAATAAAGATGTTAGGGACATAGTCCTTAGACCTTTCTAGAGACAAGTTTCTAAAACCTTCTAGAAAGAAGTCTCTAAAACTTCCAGAAGATTTCTTGAATATTTTCTTAGAATATTCTTTAAAGATTCTCTAAAGATTCTTTGAAGATTCCCTAAAGATTCCCTTAGAAGGCTCTAGAAGATTCTTAGAATATTCTAGTAGATTCTAAGAAGTTACTTGAGAAGCTTCCTAGCTCTTGGGTAGTTGCTCGAGAAGCTTCATAGTTCTTAGGAAGCTTCTTGATGCGCTTCCTTAGAACCATAGGCCAGTAGTATATATAGGAGTCGAGGCTGAAGAGTTCTTCAGTCTCGACAACACATCTCTTGGAGTTCTAGCTCACCTTTCTGGTGTTGTTCTTGTACTCATCTGTTTAATCTAGTTCTGCCACTTCTTCTTGAACTTCTTATTAGATTTCAAGTCTGTATTTTGTGTCCGTGACAGTTTGTCGAGACTACACTAACTTGAGATATCAGAGCTAGTTCTTTCTTAGTAGAGTGTGGATTACCCCTCTTCTTGAAGGTATTCTAGCGCTTTAGGGGTTGCGGATTACCTTCCTCTAAACTGATATTTTCTCAATCACAATATCAGAGCTTAGTTCTTTGAGGCAGAGAGTGGACTATCCCTTTCCTTGGAGATACTTGAGCGTTCTAAGGGTTGCGGATTACCCTCTCTTGGACTGATATTAATTCCTTCTTTTTGTTTAGCATAGCTAGTAGAAAAGACTGTTAACATCGATTTCAGAGCTTTGCCTTCTTGATAGAGTGCGGATTACCCCTCTTCTCGAAAGCATTGAGGCATTTTTAGAGGTTGCGGATTACCCTCCTCTAAAACTGAAATCGTTTAGTGTTTTTTTTTTCCTTTTCTCCGAGTAGGTTTTAGTGACAGGTAGTACTACAATTTTCTCTAAGAGACTTAGCAATTTCTTCTTCTCTCAAAATTTTAATCCATCTATTCTCTAAATATGGAAGTAGACCAGGTCATAGACAGTGCATCTCCACAAGTAGACAATAGAGTGGCAACTCTTGCAGATCTTCAAGCTCTTATGAATAGTGTACAAAAGGAGATTGCATTTCTTCGCAATCCAAGTAAAGAACCTCAAATTGATCTAGTGACCGAAGAAGCTAGATGCGAAATTTATAGCCTACAACAAGAGATTATTCGACTGAGAGAAGCAAGACATGTGTCACATACGACCCCTATAGATACTTCAAGGATTAGTACGAAAGAACCAAAAGCGAGTATGCCAGACAAGTTTGACGGAACAAGAGCCAACTTTCGAGGTTTTGTGCAACAAGTACGGCTTTACCTACGCCTATACCCTTCTCGTTATCCGAATGGATTTACCCATGTTGCTTTCATAGGTACTCTTCTATCAGGAAATGCTCGCTCTTGGTTTGCTCCACTATTGGAGAAGGATTCTCCAATATTGTACGACCTAGAGGCTTTCATAGAGAGACTTACTGCTGCGTTTGGAGATAGCGATCGAGAAAGAGTGGCTGAAAGAAAGATACAAAATCTGCGACAAGGATCACGTTCTGCTGCAATCTATGCTGCAGAATTTCAACAGCTTACATGTGATCTTGATTGGAATGATAAGGCGTTCATGACACGATTTCGATATGGACTGAGAGATGATGTCAAGAACTTATTGATCACCATGCCTAAGGTGGATACTTTAGAAGAACTTATATCTCAGGCAATTATTTGTGACAATCGCCTCTTTGAATTACGACAAGAATGACGATCAGGTTGGAGAAATGATGGAGCATTTGCTACATTTTCAAAAGGTCCAGAGAATCACTCCACAAATCATGAACCCATGCAAATTGATGCGGTACGTTTCAAACCCCTCACAGCTGAGGAAAGGAAGCGACGGTTTGAACAAAACTTGTGTTTATATTGCGGAGAAGCGGGCCATAAAGCTGTAGATTTTCGGAAGAAACAAAAGCCTCAAACAACAAGACTCAGGAGTACAAGCATGCAGGAAAACAAGGACGCCCAGCCACAATAGGGACCGTGCGGCTGGACATCTCAACATCCAAAATTAATCAAGGTCCCTTTCTCTCAGCTCAACCTTCAGATTGTTTTATGGTACCTTTACATCTGGGTATTCAAGAACTACAAGTCGATGCTTTATTAGACTCGGGTGCATCCGCTTGCTTTATAGATGAAGAGTTTGCCAAGCTTCACAATATTTCTCTTGTAAAGAAACTTAAGCCTGTCCATGTAGAAGTCATAAACGGACGACCATTGTCTTTGGGCAATGTTATCCATGAAAGTAAACCATTGAAGGTACGCTTGAAAACCATGAGAGCAATATTGTGTTTAATGTTATCAAGACCCCTTCATGTCCTATCATTTTGGGACTATCTTGGCTTGATAGATATAATCCATTGATAGATTGGAAGTTGCGGAAAGTGACATTTCCAACAGACTCCTTGAAGGTGGAATCTGCCAAGACAATGTCTAGAAACAAATCCTTGTTTATAGGTGCAAGGGCTTTCATGAAGGAAGCCAAGCAAAATACACCTCTTGTCATCTTCGCAACTCCGACTCGAGAAGATGCAACTCCGACTTTGGTTATTCCAAAGTAGTATGAAGAATTCAAAGTTGTCTTTGAAAAGAAGAATGCTGATATGCTGCCAGAGCATCGACCCTATGACTGTGCCATTGAATTGCAAGAAGGAGCACAACCCCCTTTTGGACCAATCTACAATTTGTCGCAGATGGAGTTGACTGAGTTGCAGAAGTACATTTATGAGAATCTAGCCAAGAACTTCATCCGTCATTCGAAGTCGCCAACTGGGGCACCAATCTTATTTGTGAAGAAGAAGGATGGCTCACTACGGATGTGCGTGGACTATCGAGGTCTCAACAAGGTGACAAAAAAGAATCGCTACCCACTGCCTTTGATCTCTGATCTTCTAGAACAACTTGGGCGTGCAAGGATCTTTACAAAGATTGACCTAAGGGGAGCTTACAACCTTGTGCGAATTAAGGAAGGAGATGAATGGAAGATAGCGTTCCGAACAAGGTATGGCCATTTTGAATACAATGTCATGCCATTTGGTCTTACTAATGCTCCAACGGTCTTTCAACACATGATGAATGACATCTTTTGAGAGCATCTAGACGATTTTGTTGTCATCTATCTAGATGATATTTTGATATTTTCTAAGAACGAGGAAGAACATGAGAAGCACGTTCGTCTGGTACTCAAAAAACTATGGGAGCGAGGACTCTATGCCAAATTGGAGAAGTGCTTATTTCACCAAACTGAGATGGAGTTTTTGGGATTCATCGCGACTATGGAAGGATTGAAGATGGATCCAAAGAAGGTGGAAGCAATCATGTCTTGGGAAGTTCCGAAGACGGTTAGGGACGTACAATGTTTTCTTGGATTTGCTAACTACTATCGGATCTTCATCAAGAATTATTCTCAAGTTGCTGCCCCCCTCACTCGGTTAACATGTAAGGACAAGCTCGAATGGGGACCTATCGTAGAAAAAGCATTTCAAGATTTGAAGATGGTATTTACTACAGCTCCAATCTTGGTACATCCGGACTTTACAAAGGCCTTTTATTTGGAGACAGATACATCGGATTTTGCTTTGGGAGCTGTACTTTCACAGATGGGCGTAGATGAGAAGCTCTATCCAGTTACGTTCTATTCTTGAAAATTCTCTGCTGCTGAGATCAACTATGAGATCCACGATAAGGAACTCCTTGCTATAGTAGATTCTTTCCAAGAGTGGCGCCACTTTCTCGAAGGAACTGCACATCCAGTGACCGTAT